ATAAAGTGCCTTTATTCAACTGGTGTTGTGATTTATGACTGTGTGAGGGGACCAAGCAGCCAAGGCATAGAGGACACAGGCAAAACAATTTCTTCAAAAAGAGTTTTCTTTATTTTAACCCTCAAAAAGTTCAAAAATGACAAAATTCAAAAACATAATTTGCAGGCCCATAAAAGAGGTCAACTAAATACAACACTACACAAAGTAATATCCAGAAATTTAAACGAACAAAGTGGGCCACAACTTAACTCACAAACTGACCTACTTACAAAGACACATGAGGGTAGCTTTTATAGTGGGTTGGCCAAACCATTTTCACACAATAGGGGGAAAACAGAAACACACACTAATATTAAGTACGCACAGAATAATCTAAGTAAACCTAAAACACTCCTACTCCTGGTAAGCCCATGGTTGGTCCTGCTGAGCAGGCATTTTGTTCCCAGTGTCCTCAGCCACACCTTTTACCCAGACAGGAAACAGCCACCACCCAAACCCAGGTAACTCAAAGAAAGAGAAACATAATTAATATAACAAAACATTTTAGAAAAACCACACAATGTTACTATGTGCGCACCTCATAATATCAGTGTTAGGTTTAACCAAATTATTAATTAATTATATTAATGAAGAAAATTGCAAAACAAACTAATAAAGTGAACAAATTAACTGATTTACCCATGTGTAGCTGATGCCATCACACACTGTATGAATAAAACTGAACTGAACATGAGCTATAGTCTACAGAAACAGAAAAAAGACCTGTGTTCAGTATTAAACTGCAGGAAAAAATGAAACCAGTGGAGGGCATACATGATGATTAATGAGTTGCTGCCAACAAACACTAAATATCACTGCAGAACACAAGCCTTCTTTTTCATTTTAGATTTAGCAGTAAAATGAACTCCAGCTCCTGCTGAAGCTCCTAGTAAAAGTCCTGTCGCAGCTCCCACCGCAGCACCTACAAATCCAATTGTACCTCCAGCAACAGCTCCCACTGGACCTCCTACAAGTCCAATTGTAGCTCCAGCAGCAGCAGCTCCAACAGCTGCTTCAATACCAATTCCAGCACAAACTCCAACACCCAGTCCAAGACCACTTCCTATAAAAAAAGCAACCTTGCTGTCTTGAAGAGACTCATTATTTCTTTCTGCTTTGTTTCTTGCTTCTTCAGGTGTCTCATTTTTTTCCTTTATTAGTCGTTCCATCTTTTTCTTTATAGCGTTCTCTACCTTCTCAAACATCTTGTTGGTGTAGTATCTTCCCCCATTTCCCTGAACTAGTATGTTGATCTTCTCCAGCAGCTCTCTGACCTGAGCAGGATCTCTGCTTCTGTTATTAAACACATGATATCCTCCTTCACACTGACGGACTAAGTCACGGAGAAATGGAGACTTGGTGATGAATTCCTCTATGGATACATTCAGATCATCTACACGTGTGAACAACACCATGGTGTAACGAGCTGCTTTGTCTCCAAACACCTTCTGAATGATTTTCACAGTTTCTTGTTCTTCCTCTTTAAATACTGCTGGATGGATCACAATCAGGAACACATGAGGACCAGGAGCAGCAAATGAGATGAATCTAGCAATCTCTTTTGTCACCTTCTGTGCAGGTAGTTCTGTGTCAAACAGACCTGGAGTATCAACTACAGCCAGTTTTTGAAAATCAAACAGAGCTGTTTCCTTCTGACACTCTAATGTCACTGGAGAAGAAGATGATGTTGACCTAAATACATTTCCCCTCAAGATGGTGTTTCCTGATGCACTCTTCCCAGCTCTGGTTCTTCCCACAAGAACAATCCTGAAGTCTGGTTTCACTTTTTTAAATGCTTCTTCAGCCTCTTTGAACATCTTGTTGGTATAGTAACTTCCTCCATTAACCTGAACTATGGTGTTAATCTTCTTCAGCAGCTCTCTGACCTGAGAGGGATCCTTATCTCTGTTGTTAAAAACATGATATCTTTCACCACACTGACGGATGAAGTCACTGAGAGCTGGATTTGCATTTATTACTTCTGCTATGGTGACTTCATCTGCCTCCAGATTGTCTCCACAGGTGAACAGGGCCATAGTGTACTTTGCTGCTTCTTCTCCAAACGCATTCTGAATCATTCTAACTGTTTCTTCTTCTTCTTTGGTGAATCTGTTTGCCTGGATCACAACCAGGAACACATGAGGACCTGGAGCAGCAAAAGGGATGGATTTACAAATCTCTGCCGTCATCTCTTCTGCAGTTTTATTGGTGTCAAACAGACCTGGAGTATCAACTACAGCCAGGATTTTACCATTAAACTGAGTTGTATTCATCTGACACTTTTTTGTTGTTGTGGAAGAAGATGGTGTAGATCTAAAAACTTTTTGTCCTAGGATTGTGTTTCCTGCTGCACTCTTTCCAACACCAGTTTTCCCAACAAGCACAATCCTGAAGTCAGCCTGTCTGAACATTTCGCTGGTGTAGTATCTTCCTTCATTTCTCTGAACCATGGTGTTGATCTTCTCCAGCAGTGCTCTGACCTGAGCAGGATCTCTGGTCCTGTTGTTAAACACACAATATCCTCCTCCACACTGACGGATGAAGTTACCCAGAGGTGGATTATTGCTAATAAATTCATCTATGGCAACATTAGCTGCCTCTGGATCATCTCCACAGGAGAACAAGACCATACTATAACGTACTGCTCCTTCTCCAAACATCTGCTGAATTTTTCTCACTATTTCTTGGTCTTCTTCTGTGAAGCTGTCAGTCTGAAACACAACCAGGAACACATGGGGACCAGGAGAAGCAAAGCAGACGCATTGATGGATTTCCCTCCTCACATCCACTTCAGTCACTCTGTTCTCAAACAGATCTGGAGTAACAACTAGAGTCAGGAGTTTATCGCCAAATTCTTGTGTTTCCTTCTGAAACTCTGATAGTGATGTTGATTCAAAAGCATTTCTATTATTTCCTAAAATGGCATTTCCAATTATGTTCTTTCCAACACCATTTTTTCCAAGAAGCACAATCCTGTACTCTGGTTTATCTGGTTCTTCTGTTTCTTCTTGTTCTTCTTGCTTCTCTAACTCTGCGGAAAAATATTATGAACATTATACTGATGATTGTGTAAAAGGCAAATTTTACTATGTTCTTTCTCTATAACGAACATTTTCACAGATAAAACTCTGAAAACAAACATTTGTTAGCTTCCCTCCCGCATCACTGAATAAATAAAGAGAAACTCTGATCTCTACAAATTTTACTTGGTGGACAGAGAAACTGAGGGTTTTGGCACTACTACATTTTAAGCCTTAGATGTTAATGGCTGCAGCTGCCAGTTGGCTGAAATGAGTGCTGTAAGTTTCAAACAAGTGCAAACAAGTTTCAAACAAATGTTTTCACATCTTAAAGAGCTGCTAAACATAAAACACAGCACTGTACTTCATGCACAGTTTCACAGTGGACTACCTCTGCAGAGAACCTGTGTGGGGCTATTTTTTTTAATTCAGCACCAGTTCACAATACCATTGACTTTGGAGCTGTAAATATTACACAAAACTGACCTGAAAACAAAACTAAATCGTTTTATTTTTGGGGGTTTAATATAATCAGCCACATGAGCCGCACTGAAAGAAAGGCCATGTTGGATTTACTTGATTCAATAGTGGACACTGGTTGCACACAAATGTTTTGCTTTGGCAGAAACTTAAACAATTGAGTTAAATCAACACAACTTTTTCATATTCAATAAACATGTGCATTTTGTGTTCATAAAACGTGATTGAAACATGTTTAGATGAAGTTGAGCTCTAGAATATTATAATCCTTCACTATTTTGTCATTTTATTTCAACACTATTCAATAACTTTTACCCCAATACTACTTGGTCACTTAAATACTACATGTTTTCTTAGTCTGGTTACCATAAAAATTGAATGGATCTACAACAACTACATCCTGCTATCTTTATCCTGGTTGCAAGTGGGCTGGGAAATAACCCTGAAGTGATAGGTTACAAGGCAGGGTACACCCTGGACAACTCACAAACAACCATTTACACTTACATTGACAGGTAATTTAGAATCACAAATTAATTTAACTCTAACAATTGCATGACTTTTAACTGTGGGAAGAAACCAGAATACCCAGAGAGAAACCACTGCAAACTAGCCAGATTGTGGATTTAAACCCAGGACCTTCTTACTGTGAAGCAACAGCACTAACCACCATGCCAACAATCTAGGAAATACAAGAAAGCTATGATTTCCTGTATTTCATGCAGAATTTTTTTGTTTTTGTCCTCAACAGGTTAATCCACAATAAATAGCAATAGCATACACATTGTGTGTGTCTAGTTGTCTGCCTCTTATAACTCCAGTGA